CTGTCAACATTTGCAGAGCCATGACTGATACCGTGAAGAAATCTTTCAAGCAAACAGCAATGTTTGTTGTCATAAGGGAAAACAAATTTCTCAGTTTTGAGGTCCCAAACCTACAACCTGAAATCTAGAGGTTAAATACCATTTATACTCATTTTAAAGAGGGTGATTTTCCCCAATGCTATATATTCTAAATGTCCTGAAATCTTAAGTTCCTAACCATACATCCTGGTCTTTGTTTTCTTTCAAAATTGATATATGCTGACTTTTCTGTCAAGGCTTGCAGAGACTGCTGCTTCCACAGCAGAAAGATAATTTACATGCTAAGATGATCATGAGGGTTAAAGCTATAATGTTTAGTTCTTCTTGAAAATATCTGTATTTTAACAATATCCTTATTGGCGTTATGTAACTAATGTAATGATAGTCCACTTTGTGGAATGTCACTGAGAGATTTTTAAATCTTTTTAATGCTCCAAATAACCCACACACATTAAATGTATTGGTCAGGACTCTAGAAGGGGCAAAATTCAACTTTCAGATCTTACAATTTCCATGAGGAGAGAGAAATGGCTTAAGCACTCCCTTATCAGGTACTTAAAGTCTCCAACTGCTGGCTGAAATCAGATGCCTGCCCCTGGATGATTAAACAGTGACCAAGGAAGAGGGTTGAGGTGGAATTGTCAACCCTGAGTCATTCTCTGAAGCACCCTCTTCACGTATTCCTCATGCATGTCAATCTGGCTTAAAGTGGGTGAAAATGAGGTGTGGTTGTACAGAATGTCTTTAAAACGCTCATGAATTTGATTTCAAAATTTCCTCAAACCAGAAATTATGATTCTAATGCAGAACGAAGTGCTTACATTTAAGATATTTTAAAGGACTACTTTGACAATATGGGATAGAGTACCATTTCACAGACTTAGACGCAATTTTCAGCTCTAAAAATTCCCTAACCATGAAAACTTGGGTAAGCAACAATCTCTTTAAATGTCATAGCTAGTTTGGGGCTCTGAATAAAGAACTTATACACTTCATAAGTTCAATTTCTCCCCTTTCAACAGTACAAATAACAAAAGCAATTAGATTTCAATTTACACACATACATACACATCTCCAAATTCTTCAAGAAGCTTAGAGGCATTAATGCAGCCCTTCAATGATGAGCCAATTTTCTTGCTATGCCTCTGTCACAGCTGAAAACTTAACTCAAGCTGTGATCCCTTTGACAAGGCCAACATTACTTCAGGCAATACTGCAAAAGAATTGCTTCTTCTCTATTCCCCTCCACTCAGCCCCAAATCCCACCTCTCTCTCTCTCCCCCCCCCACTCTAAATTTTTTAAAAATATTTTTAGATGTTGATGGAATTTTATTTTATTCACTTAGTTATATGTGGTGCTTAGAATCAAACCCAGTGTCTCATATGAGGCAAGCACTCTACCACTGAGCCACAACTTCAGCCCCCTTTTCTCCCTTGATGTTTCTTCATTGCTTTCCACATTCATACAGTCAGGAGTTCTTTTATTCATGAATGTGAAAACCAACCCAGTGCTCCCTGAACTCACTTTGATATTCTCTAAGGGGAAAAAGAGGCAACAGCATTAGAGGGAGGGAGGAAAGACCCACCATCTTATTTCATCTATTAATTGCTGCAATTTCTTTTTTTTAAGAGAGAGAGAGAGAGAGAGAGAGAGAGAGA